AGAATATAAAACCTGGAAAACTTTACGCATTTTAAATTGCTTTATTAAAAAAAAAAGATGTAAAATATAATATTTCTGTGTTTCTTAGACTCCCCTTCTGGGGCTGCCAGAGACAGTTACATAGCCACACTTGACAGCACTGAAAGGAACAGGAAGGATTCGCACGTTTCACAACTAATTCCTCATTAAAGGGGTTTTAAAAAAAAAAATCTATAAAAACAGTTTAGAATAAATGTGTTCTGTGGATCTCTGGTAGTCCACAGATCCATTCCAGGTGTTCTGCAGTGCTGCTTATAACGCAGAAGTGGGCAAACTATGGCCCACGGGACTGCCCTGCCCGGCCCAGGAGGGTAGCCCCCGGCCCCTCCCGGGGGGGGGCCTGTCAGGGGGTTGGGATGTGGATAGGAGTCAGGGGACGGGGAACAGGGGGGAGCTGGATAGGTGTGGGATCCTGGGGGGCCTGTCAAGGGGCGGGGGTGTGGATAGGGGTCAGAGCAGTCAGGGCACTAGGAGCAGGAGGGTTGGATAGGGAGTGTGGTCCCAGGAGCCATTAGGGGCAGGGGGTCCCGGGAGGGGGCAGTTATGGAACAAGGAGCAAGGGGGTTGGATGGGTTGGGGATTCTGAGGGGGGCAGGAAGTGGGAGGGGTAAGACTGTTTGGGGAGGCACAGACTTCCCTACCCAGCCCTCCATATAATTTTGCAACCCCAATGTAGCCCTCGGGCCAAAAAGTTTGCCCACCCCTGTTCTAGTGGAATGGCAAAGTATGTATCCACCTGTGATACTGGCAAACCAGCTAACTTGTGTATGACCCATAACAACTTAAGAGGCATTACAATTGGATCAGGACAATTCACTTGCATGTGAATATCAAACAGATGTACTAGCCCAGCATTCACTAACCCATTCATTTGTAGTAACAGAAATCAAGGGTAGATGCTAAATGTGTTTGCCTGTGTACCTGTATCCTGTTAGAAGTTTACCAATGTAATCAAATTAGCTTTTAGATGCTAAATATTTTCATGTCTTAATTGCCTTACATTCTGTACACTAATGTGTTCAGTTAACCTTAAGATCAAAGATGTGAGATACTGCAGAAACTAATATCATCTACATTGTCTTCATCTTATCTATCCCTGTTATGATGAATGACCAGATGCGGTCTTCTAGTGTAACGGTGTATACACAGGGAATTGAATGTTAACTTCAAAGTGATGGATCAGTGCACGCTCAACAAAGACGATGCCTCAGTCATATGCCGTGCTCAAAGCACTTGACAACCTTCTTCATCTATAAAAGTGAAACCTCAGGTCTGATCCTGCATCTCTTGTCTGCTGAACTTGAAACAGGGAAAGTTTAAGCCATGGGACTGAGATCTTCCAAGTAGTTACTTGGAATACCCTGGAAAATGCCAGGAATGACTAACAGACTCTACATAAGATGCATTTGGATTATAACCTTTTCGAATGATTCCAGAGAGACTTTTGCAAGCCAGCAGACTCATCCATCACTGCTACAAATCTAATATAAGGACCCTGCAAGCATTTGTATTGTATATAATCTTTTATCAATTCAATAACTTTCTTCTCTTCTTTTATTAATAAACTAACTAAAGATTTACTAAGGATTGGCTGACATGACATTTGGGTAAGATTTGACACTCATATTGACCTGGGGGTAAATGTCCGATCCTTTGGGATTAGTAGAACCTCTTATATGGTGAATTGGTTTTTCGGTAACTTCTCACTATATTATACCAGTTTGCCTAGATGGGAGCCAAAGGCTTCATTGCCTAAAGGGGACTGTGTTTGGCTTCTTGTTAACCAGTGCTGCAGAAGCTCTTTGATACTGGTTTGGTGACTCTAATTGCAGAACAAACCACCAGTTTGGGGGTATTGTATGCCCTGTTTCTTGCAGTCTGCCCTGAGTGTAGCATTCTCAGTGTGGCCCTTCCCAGGCACTCGGTCACACCACCTTCAAGCAATTCTCGTTCCTAAAAGTCGTAACCCTGTCCAGTACCCTATTACAGTTTTTGTGGGATTGGGAGGATGGTGTGTGTGTCTGTATTAAATGAACTAAAACAAGGGTGGTGGTGGTGGGCAAATCAAGCTTCTCCCACTGCTGTATGGCTGCTTCCTGTCTTTATTACGTTTGTTTACTGTAAATTCAGCTGTGATCAAGAAGCAAACTCTTGGCTTCTGTAGTAAAGTAGAGGTTTTGAGGTGGAGATGGTATTAAAACAGGAGGGAGCTAGTTTGATCTGTCCTGCATTTGGTTCTTATACTACTGTCACTATATACATTTTGAACAAGATGATCACTATTAGCAGGAAAGAATTACACATTTTAAAAAAATAACTTATTTTCAAATACATTTCAGCTCACGAGAGAAGTGCTTCTCAGTATGTGAGTTTTCAAACTTCTGTGCTGAACGAGTAGCTTTCCTTTCCACATTTCTTACTATTCATAGCATATCGCTCAGTACTTATGCAATCAATGGCGAGGTATTGCATCTTACACTTCTCCCCATTGAGCAACTTGTTTGCACTATCATGCAATGCTTTATAGCTATGGTGTTATGGTAGCTTGTTGGTGAGCCACGTCCCTTGTGAATATGGAAGAAATTTAAAAAAAACAGCACCTCAGTGCTTGTTTATATTTGTATCTACCAACAATACTAGCGCAACACTGATGAAAACCAATGCAGTAAACCCATTTGTTGCAGATGCAGAGAAGCACTACCTAGGAAGATCAGGGGAATAGAGGGCCTATCTTATGAGAGGAGATTGTAAAAGCTTGATTTGTTTACTAGCAAAAAGAAGGCTAAGAGAGGATATGAATGATTGCTCTCTATAAATAAATCGGTGGGGTGGGGGGAGAGTAAACAGCTATTTAAGCTAAAGGACAATGCTGATACAACTACAAATGGGTATAAACTGGCCATGAACAAATGCAGGCTGGAAAGTAGAAGGCTTCTAACCAACAGAGGAACGAGGTTCTGGAACACCCTCCCAATAGGAGCTGTGGGCACTAACAAATTAATTAGTTTTAAGGGAGAACTGGACACATTTATGAGTGGGATTGTATGATGCGGTTGCTTGTGATGATACTTGGCAGCCCTGGGGTCCCTTCTGATTTGTGCCTTATGTTCTTAAAGGTCACGCTTCAAGTGCCTGCACAGAGCATGATGTCAGAATTACTAATGAGTGATTCAAAGTGACATGCTGTGGCCATTGAACATTGGCAGCACCCATATACTGTGAGTTCAAGTCTTGCCCTTGGCAGCTTTCTCCATACAGTAGAACCTCAGAATTACGAACACCTCAGGAATGAAGGTTGTTCATAACTCTGAAATGTTCGTAACCCTGAATAAAATGTTATGGTTGTTTTTTCAAAAGTTTACAACTGAACATTGACTTGATACAACTTTGAAACTTTACTATGCAGAAGAAAAATGCTGCTTTTAACCATCTTAATTTAAATGAAACAAGAACAGAAAGAGTTTCCTTACCTCAATCTTTTTTTGTAAATGTTCCCTTTATTATTTTAGTAGTTTACATTTAACAGTACTATACTATACTTTTCTGATTGCATACTTCCGGTTCCAAATGAAGTGTGTGGTTGATTGGACAGTTCATAACTCTGGCGTTCTACTGTATGTGTTGCTCGCTGCCTGCATTCTGTGGGGGCTCCTTCTGGAAGTTTTAAACTGGAAGCTTTGCTTTCAAGGTAAGAGCTGATATTTCAAAGTGCTCTAAAATCCTCATGCACACTCACATTTTATGTTACGAGTATTGTCAAAGAAAATGACATTAAATAGAAAGATGATGAAACACTCTAGTAAGCAACAGCACTAGGGCAATCTAATCATGATGCATGCTCCACGCTAATTTCCTGAACAATGGGACTGGGTGTAACCAAAAAGCAACTTTTATCAATGTTGGTATGAACAAAGGGGTTACTGAGCTTCAGGAAACAAATCCTTAACAGAGAGCCCTATTCTAAACACTGGCATACAGTTTATACTGACTCATGTACAGGATACTGCCATCAGTCAAAACAGTAACTTATGTTTTATGTTAAAAACAATGTTTTTACTTTTTAAGAGAATTTATCCAATCTACACAAACCAAAAAGGACAACTATTGTTTTCAACCCTCAAAGTGCTGTCCTTGGGGGAAAAAAGGTCCAAAGGTCATGGGGCCCTTTTAAAAACTCTTATAGCAGGTCTCAATGATAATTTCTCCCCCACAAATTGCCATCAGGGTGAAAAAAAAAATCAAGAAAGCATTGCGCAAGCTACAAGGAAAATTTTAAAATGATACTCGCAAAATTCTGTCTTTTAGATTAATCTCAACAGAATGAAAATCAAGGTGCAGCCTTAACTGTGGTAGCTCTACTCTTCCACTATAAAATTGCTGTGCTACATTAGGCCCAGGGGTGGAATTAGTAGTCCAAGCTGAGGTCATTTAGTCAAGGGGTTCCTCGGACACAAGTCCCTCCAATAAGGAGCTGATTTAATATTCAAATTAATCTAAAACCCATGTGCATAGTGTGATTGTCTTGAAAATTTTAATGTTAGTTGTGAATGTATTAATACTTTTCCTCACAGTTCTAACCCCTGGATTTTTAGTCTCACTTTGAAGAAGTATATTTTAGACACCTTATAAATATCTAAGTTAGAATCACTGCCTTGTACGTTTCACATCAGGACTTCCACAGTCACTGTCATTTTGCCATGACAGTTCTTCAAGAACTATCTTGGATTTTGTAACAGATAGGGATATTTGCAATGTAGATTGGTATAACACTCTCACAAGGAATGAATGTACATCACAATTTGTGTTATTAAAAAAAAAGTCTCCATTCAGTACAAGCATCTCTACTCTAAAGATGAACTAGATCTAGGAGATGCTTCTTTAGATTCTTTACCTGGAAGCTTAAGTGAATAATATCCACATGCATATGATACAAGAGGTGATGTGTTTATGTAAGTCAATACCTGAGTACTCCTTCCACTTGATCTTTGGTGTAGCCTTTTCCACTTTCACCTGCAGCAGATGCATTGCTGTCCTTTGTACTACTGGGCTTACTTTGATCATTGCCATTTGCTGGCTTTTGGCAGTATGGAGCACTCCCAGCAGCACTTCCATTCTTCATAATTGCTTCCAACAAAACTGTAAAGAGACAGTAAAACCATAATATCATAATACACATTGAAGGTGGAAGAGAACTATTAGGGTAGGTGGCTCTGAAACTTTTCCATTATGTGGACCACATCTTAAGAGACTGTCTTATGGATTTCCCCCTCAGCTGGTCCACAACCCCTTCTATTCACAAACACAAAATTCTTGAAGCAACTATAGCAAGCAATTGCTTACAAGGGAAAGCATTTAGAAATCAGTAACTGGTCGACTCGTGCCCCCCAGTCTCCCCTCCTTCTTCTCTTCTAATGTAGCAACATAGAGTAGTGTAAAAAGATAGGCTCCTTCCTCACTTTCCAGCTGCTTTTACAGCCATCCATCCCCCTCTTTGCAATGAAAGCCCTAAATGCCTGAATAAGTACAGGCAGTCCTCGACTTTACAACATTCAACTTATGACAAACAGCACTTCTGAACCGACACCCTGATTCAACTTATGACAACTGGTTTTGACTTTATGATGCTCAGTCCCGCTACGGAGTGGATTGCGGTTCTGAGTTATGACGTTTCGACTTATGATGCAATTTTCAGGAACCAATTGTGTCTTAAGTCTGAGGACTGCCTGTATCTGAAAATAGAAAGGAGGAATCAGCAGTACACAGAGTCTGAGAACTACTAAAATAGTTTCATTAGTGTTTAGTTCATCTCCTAGGGACCACTGCAGGACTGGCCCAAAAACAGACATGAAGGTACTTATACAGAAATCTTGGGCTTAATTCTTTGCCCTTTTTCCTGAACCAAGGGCTGGAAATGCTATACAAGGCAAAGTGCTGAGACGCAAGGAGCAGAAGTGTGTCATGTCACAACAGAAGATTAAGGAATGGTTCTTGGAGGAAAAAAAGTGAGTCTCAGCCAATCTTCTTTATCTAGAAGTACACTAATCTTAAGAAAAGCAATATGACAAGAAAGGTACACTCTGGACGGTGAGGACATGTGAAAGTAGTATATATAACCCCAGAGTTCTGAAAAGAATGCAAAAGACACCCTTCATTTCCAATAAAGAGGAGGCAATTCACAGAAACAGAAGTCATCGGGCACTGACATTTCTATGGTCCATTACAAAGATATGTATATGGAGGGCTTGAAAAATAAAAAATCCATTCCCTTATTTGCTAGTACTGTAATGTGTAGGAAGCTTTCCCTGGCTGCTGTGGGGTTTAAGCCATCAATTTCTGCAGAAGACTACATGTTTTTCTTTATAACAATACTAAATTTTTAACACTTATGGCTGAGATACCCTGCCAAATGTGAACTGAACACAAACCAATGGACTGTTGTCTTCCTGAGTCTACAAACAGTTCCTATGTTTCTGCTGCTGATTAGAAATGACAAGCAGGAGCAGAGTGAAATTAACAAGATTGTAAGAAGAGAAATTGATCAGAGACATGGTGGGTGAGGTAAATCTTTTACTGGACCAACTTCTGTTGGTGAGAGAGATGAGCTTTTGAGCTTATACAAAGCTCTTCAGCTCATCTCTCTCACCAACAGAAATTGGTCCAATAAAATATATTACCTCACCCACCTTGTCTCTCTTATATCCTGGGACTGATACAGCTACAGCAACGCTGCATACAATTTCTCAGCTGTAATTCAGAACCCTTTGGGCAGGAGTGAAATTCCATTATCATGTGATCTATTATGACCAGTAGCTGTCTCTGTGCCATGGAAGGATCATTTATACCAGGGGTTCTCAAACTGGGGGTCGGGATCCCTCAGGGGGTGGCAAGCTGTCAAACTCCACCCCAAACCCCACTTTACCTCCAGCGTTTATAATGGTGTTAAATATATAAAAAAGTGTTTTTAATTTATAAGGGGCGAGGGGTCGCACTCAGAGGCTTGCTCTGTGAAAGGGGTCACCAGTACAAAAGTTTGAGAGCCACTGACTTATACCTTGGACTTTGGAAATGCTTTGTGCTGGCAGGGTGGCATAAAGCAGACACAAAGCAAGGCAGAATCTGGGCCTATGTCTTTTGTAGAAGCCAAGATGCCTGACTGTATCTATAGATACTGCTTGTACTTTTTACTGGAGGAAACAAACCTTTCCTGATCTACATCTAATTTCTCGATGAACTTACTTTCCAAACAGTGACACCTCTTCTACTGGGAAATTTTAAGAATGTCTGCAGAAATGAAGATGGCAATCTGGAAGAAGTTTGCTAAGATATGGTTTAGGCATAATCTTTAACATTTAATTCCACTGCATCTTTATATGCCGCAAGGGAAACACACTAATATTGAAGATTCTAATAATTATATCTAATTATAAAGAGGCATACATCACACACACACAAAAAGTGTTAAATAATAAAGAATTAACAAACTGCTGTCCTGAATGGTTGTGTTGCTGACTGCTCTTAAGTAGTTGTGACTAATCACTCCACAAGATGTGCATTTCAGTGGAGGATAAGAAAATCTCTGTGAATACAAAAGAAACCTGCTAGCTCACTCTGATGACTACAAGACCCATTGCAGGTTACTTCATTTTGCAAATTAGCAAATAAATGAACCCATGTGATAAAAAATACTAATGCACTTCACTTATTCTGAAGGGTGTTGTTTAGATTTAGTTATAACCATATTGGACAGTATACCAGAAGTCAGAAATATGAGATTTCATTACAATACCACTTGCCATTAAATCAATGAGAAGTAGGATGATACACAGGGATTTTTTTTAAGAATTATCAAAGTGAGATAAGAGAGGTTCTACTGCAATTGATAAATCTGTATGTTTGTTTTGGAATCCTTTGGGAATAGTTCCTAAATAAATAAAATATCATTAAATCTACATAAATTAAATACCGTTAATGATTGAAAACTGCTCAGATACTACAGTGACAAGAGACAAGTAAAGACAGAAATGGACCACATCGTATTCTTATGCCTTTGTCACTACCTGGCTGGAAGGTTGTAATGCCCTCTATTTAGGGGTATCCTTGAATGCCACTCTGACTCTTCAGCTACCAAGAACATGGCTGTTCATGTCTAACCTGGGCTGGGCCAACATCAATACAGTTTTGAGCTCCACGCTCTGCACTAGCTCCCAATCCATTCACAAGTGAAATTCAAAGTATTGATTATTGTCTGAAGACCTACCCTACAGCTGTCCCCAAGGTTGAACTCATGGCACTAGTGGTAGAGCATATTCATACTGGGCCCTTAAATATCCTTCCCTCCTTTTTAAATTCCAACAGAGCTCAAATCTGCCAATTTTTAAGATGCAATGAAAGATGCACTGTGACTTGTTCAAATTTTGGTTTCATGTAGTCAGTGGATATTTATCCCATCAATAGATGGGGAGCAACTTTATCCTAACTTAAGGGGCTAATTTAGAGGCCAGAGCTATTGAAAAGTCACTTTATAGAACAAGATGGCAGACTACATAGTTTTGTAAACTATCAACACCACAATGCTTTATAAATTCCTGAAGAAAAAGTTTCCACTCACTTTTTAAGCTTGTTGGAGTTTTACGTTGTTAAATAACTGTTCTCTCCAAGAGGCTGGGAAGAGAGAACTAGCACCCCTAGGGTTCAAAAAAGAACTAGATAAGTTCATAGTCGAGAAATGGCTATTAGCCAGGATGGACAGGGATGTAAAACCATGCTCTGAAGCGTCCCTAGCCTCTGTTTGCCAGAAGCTGGGAATGGGCGATAGGGGATGGATCACTTGGTGATTATCTGTTCTGTTCATTCCCTCTGAAGCACCTGGCATTGGCCATGTCTGAAGACAGGATACTGGGCTAGATGGATCATTGGTCTGACCCAGTATGGCCATCCTTATGTTCTTAAAATCTTCTCTACATCCTTCTTGTAAAGTCTGCCACAACACACAGTGGTGGCTTGGATGACCTAGTAGCAAAAAACATCTAAGGCCTGTCTACACTAGCATTTTCATCATTATTACCACAGAGGGAGCTGCACTAGTGGGACAGTGGGAAATCTCCTAAAAAATAGCAATGTAGACATACTAAAAAGCCCCAAACACTTCTCAATAGTTTCCAGATCTTCTAAGATTCTAGAGCATCCACTTGATGGTCCAAATATAATTATGAATATAAATAGTATATTCCATACAAAAAAACCCACCCTTCAAAACAACATTATTAAGGTTTCAAATCAATCATTTGAGTTAGGAAGAGCCAGAACTAATGTTGCCCATGAAACCTTAATTTTGCCTGTTTGTGTATGTGTGCATTATCTTTAAATTACGTGATAACATACTATTTTTCCCACAGGACCCCTGTTTCATTCACTGCAAAGAAGGGATGGTACTCTGATAATGAGGCAGCTATTCCATATTTCATTTTATCCTCATCATTCAATATGTGATTCCATTTCTTATCTACTGCACATCATCCAAATCCTGACCTGAATATAGATTTTTTTAAAATTTTACTCAAAGGCTTTTCTAATGCACTCATCACTGTAATAGCACCTCACAATTTTTTTTCAACACCTTGGTGAGATAGAGATATATTATCCCTATTTTTGGAAGAGCCCACTAATTTTTGAGTACCCAGTTTAAGACACTTTGGGTATGTCTACACTGCAATCTAAGCCTGTGCATGAGCCCCCCTTGTGTCTGCACTGCAACTGTGCTAACCCAGGACTCGGTCCCAGGACCTTACAGGGCTGGAGGGTCTGAGCTTCTGTCAAGCCAGGGCTGGAGGGTCTGAGCCCTAAGACTTTGCAGTGTAGATGTAGCCCAGCTTGACAGAGGTCCCAGGAGTCATCTGGAAGTATCACACAAGTCTTTGGGACAACTTCCTTAATCCTTTCCATCCCAACATTCTGCAATCCACTCTATTGAAAATGGAAGCCACACCCCCTTTGCAAAGGAGCAGTTCAGGTCAGCATTAACCAATTTTCTTCTGATTAGCAATCTGCAAAAACATTATCAGAGAGCCTTCTGGGTTTTCAATGGAGAGTGAACCAATCAAGCCTTTTGTAAAGTGACCTGCTTCCTAATAATCTACAGGGCAGCAGTAAAGTCTTCCCAAAGTGCACCACAGTCCTAGGGCTAGAGTGGCCACATTTTCAGGGGTGGAGGAGAGTGCGCTTGGGACTCTGGGATATGGTTACTTTGACTCAGGTCTATGCACTGCAGTGTGGACAACAGAGCCCTAGGTTTGAGCATGGGTCAGAAAATTCTTAACTTAGGTAAAATACAATATAGATGCTCAAGCCCAAGGTTCCCTAACACAGGTCAACTACTCAAGTCCCATTAACCCTGGGTTCACACTGCACTATAGACATACTCTTAACGCCTGATATTTCATAGATACTGGGCATTTGCAACTCTTATTGGCTTCAGATAGAACTGTAGGTGCTCAAACAAATCAGGCACTAGGTGTCTCAAGCTGGATACCTGAAAAATGCCCCCCGTTTCATTCACGATACATGTATCAGTTTCCACAATGAATAAAATAAGAGTCCTATACATTCGAGCCTCATTATGCATTCACTCTGTGCAGTGAAACAAACACTTTGCAAAGAAAGGTATGCAGCAAAAGTTCATTTTACAGACATCATAGTCAAGCACATTTTTGGCATCTTCATTCTGAGAGGCAGTGTGGCAAAGTGGGTGAAATTTAGGTCTGCCATTTTAGTCTTAGGTTGTATTTCCAAAAGTGGCCTTGCCTGAGTCCCAGAAACCTCACCTATAAAAAAAAAAATGGAAATTGTTGCCTGCCTCCTAAAGTAGGGGCATAAGACCATAGGGCAGTGGTCGCCAACCTTTTTACATCTAAGATCACTTTTTGAATTTAAGGGCAACCCAGAATCTACCCTGCCCCTTCCCCAAAGCCCCGCCCTGCTCACTCCATCCCCCCTTCTTCCATCACTCGCTCTCTACCACCCTCACTCACTTTCACTGGGCTGGGGCAGGGAGCTGGGTTTGGGAGGGGTGCACTCTCTGGGCTGGGGCTGAGGGGTTCACAGTGGGGGAGGGGGCTCCGAGCTGAGCCTGGGGCAAAGGGTTGGGGTGCAAGAAGGGGTAAGTGGTGCAAGCTTTGGGAGGGAGTTTGGGTGCAGGAGGGGGCTGGCTCTGGGAGGCTTCTTGGCCTGCTGTATTCATGCTACTCCTGGTCTTAATGCTGCAGAACCATTCACAACCTGCCTATTGAAGGGAGCGGCACCTATCTTGGGTGGCTCTGGTCCCACGCTGCTCCTGGAAGCAGCCAATGCAGCCCGGGGGGGGAAGAGGGGTCTCTGCGCACTACCCCCTCTGTAGGCACTGCCCCCACAGTTCCCATTGGCTAGGTACGGATCTGTGGCCAATAGGCTGTGGGGGTGGTGCTTGCAGGCAGGAGCAGTGTGCAGAGACCCCCCTCCCTCCCGCCCCCAGGGCCGCACTGGCAGCTTCTGGGAGCAGCGTGGGGCCAGGGTAGGCAAAGAGCCTGCCTTAGCGGCAGCCCCGCTACACCACCGGAGATCACAATTGAACAGGAGTCTCCAGGATCGACCAGTCGATCGTGATACAACGGTTAGTGACCACTGCTATACGGACTGTGAAATGTACAAAATCATTAACTCTAGTCAGTGTAAGAGGGGAGACTGAAACTCACTGTCTCCTGGCTTCCAGCCCAATATTCCTTTTTATAGGTAAAGGGAATTTTCATGAAGGCCATCCAACTAAGCCATGGCAAGTGTTTTGGATTATCACAGGCTTGTGGTAGTACTTAAGACATACAGGCAAAGTGGAAGAGGTGCAAAGTATGTGACCTATCAATTCTGCAGAGGGCTCTGCTCAGAGATAAGGAGGCAATGGATTTCCCTTGTCCTAATGATCCCTAGTATATCTATCTTTTATTTCAGAAAAAGCAATCTACTGTAATTAAAAAAACAAATAGATGTTGTAAGCCCTTACTTTTTGCTTGCTCACAAAATTTAACAGATAAGCACAGGAGGAGGGAAAGTGTTTGGTAAATATATACCTGATATTAGAGTAGGAACCTGCAGCACCTAGAGTTGATATTTTTGGAGCATCACCCTAGAGTGCAATTTTAATTTGAAATATTCTATGCTGCAGTATTTAATTTTGTGTGGAAATCTTCATTTCAGTAAAAAGAATAAAAGGAAACTTACTTATCCTTAGAAAATAAAGGGAACTTAAGTGGAGACTGGAAACTCAATAAGTCATTGCATGCACTAACATCTAGAATAAACTTCTGACATAGCATGACTAGAAGACCCCAAGGCCCAGTCTACACTGCCACTTTACAGCGCTGAAACTTTCTCACTCGGTGTGTGAAAAAACACCCCCGAGCGATGCAAGTTTCATCGCTGTGAAGTGGCAGTGTAGACAGTGCTCCCAGCCGCACTCCCAGCACTGGTAGCTACTCCCCTCATGGGGGTGGGTTTTTTTTACAGCGCTGGGAGAGCTCTCTCCCACTGCTGGTGCTGCGGCAGCGCTTTAACATTGGTAGTGAAGACATACCCTTAGATAGGCAATGACCCTGTTGATAATGAAATCTGAAACCATGCTATTGTTTCCTCTAAAGAACCATCTTTTAAACAACTGCTAGAAAGATGCTAATGTTTTTTTTCAAATTTCAGGGTGTAACTGGCCAAAGACTAGTATAGACCTAGTTCACAATGGAGTAGAGCAACTTGTACTAGTGCAGTGAATCCTGGTGTAGTAATGGTTTGCCCCAATTCAGCCATGTTGGTGGCTAAAACTGCAAACAATAATCCACAATAAATTCTTTCAACAAGAGAACTAGGGATGTAAGTACCGTTTAAAAAGTTAACCATTTAAATGACTAAAAATATGTCATTTAAACAGGAGTTCTTTTTCCTTCTGAACCCCCCCGCCAACATGCTATTAAAACTCCATGGCCCACCTGTGCCACAACAACTGTTTTTCTACATATAAAAGCCAGGGCTGGCATTAGGGGGAAGCAAGCAGGGCAACTGCCTGGGGCTCTACACCACGGGGGGCCCCCGTAAAGCTAAGCTGCTCAGGCTTTGGCTTCAGCCCCGGGTGGTGGAGTCAGGGCAGCGTGGGCTTCCTGCCCCAATTAGTCTAATGCCAGCCCGGTTTGGCGGACCCCCTGAAACCTGCTCGCATATCCCCAGGGGGCCTCTGACCCCGATTAAGAACTGCTGATTTAAATGGTTAACCGATTAAGCCGCTGGGGCAGATCCCACTGGTCGGCTTGGCTGGGCCCATTCCAACCAGCGCAGTGACACTGGGGCCGGCCAGCCAGCCTGGGGTTAACAGTTAAGGCGGGTTAACCGGTAAGACTGCTACTTACCGGTTAACTTTTTACATCCCGAAAGAGAACATGGTAAATCAAAGTCATATTCCTTCCAATTGTTTTAGCTAAGTACTACGTGTTTTAATGAAGTGCTTCTCTGAATTTCAACTAGCTCAGGGGTTCTCAAACTGGGGGTCGGGACCCCTCCAGGGGTCGCACGGTTATTACATGGGGGGTCATGAGCTGTCAGCCTCCACCCCAAACCCCACTTTGCCTCCAGCATTTATAATAGTGTTAAATATATTAAAAAATGTTTTTAATTTATAAGGGGGGGGTCCACACTCATAGGCTTGCTATGTGAAAGGGGTCACCAGTACAAAGGTTTGAGAACCACTGAACTAGCTCTTCAAGCCTTTTAGGGTATGTCTACACAGCAACTAGACACCGGCAGTTGGCACAGGCCGTGTCTAGCTGTTGAGCAGAAATACTCTTTGGCAACTTGTACAAAATAGGAGTCTATGACCCAGTGCAGTAGAACAAAGCTGAACTTGTACTTATCTAGGGCTGACTTCAATTCCTGATTCCAGCCAAAGGATTCTCTTCCCAACTCCACTTTCTCCTTTTAAATACCCGAACAGCCCATCTCCCAACAGTTAAACCTCTTACTGTTCGGTTTCCCTGTTACATGTCTACAGCCAGACCAGTCCGAATACAACTGAACAAACAAGCTAATCATTCACTTCTAGGGCCTTCGCCTTGGCCTGCATCTGTATACACACACACGTGTCTAGTCACACACGTGAAATTTTCTGTGCACATCACTTGAAGTCCGAGGTGAGCGATTTCACAGGCACAAAGTCCACTGACATGTTCTGCTCACCAGGGTGCACCCGGGCTCATGGGCAAAGCCACAAAGAGGGCACACTGGGTGAAGGTGGCCCAGAGGTCACTAGTATCTCCCCTCCGGTGGTCAGGCCCTACCCAAGGTGTTATGTTTGGCAAACCAAGAGGAGGGGAAGTAGCAAGCAGGCGAGATGGAGCCTCAGAAACCACCTAGGTCGAGGAGAACTCGCCTAGGGTTTACCCAAGGGCTGGGGGCCCGGCCAGCGGGAAGGTGGCGGGGAGTGGGGGCTCAGCTCGGGCAGGACTCCGGCCCCACCGGCCCCTCCCTCGGAGATGGCAAGCGGGCGGCGGTGGGTCGCGGCCCAAGGAAGGAGTGTGGCGGGGCGGCCAGCCGGGCCTCACCTCGGGCGGTCTCGGTCGGGTAAAGCTTCTGGGCCTTGTGGAGGAAGCGCTGCGCCCGGTCGCGGTTGGCGGCCTCCAGCGCCTCCCGGGCGATCTCGATGCATTTCTCCGCCTCGTCCCGGTTCCCCTCCATGGGCTTCTCCTTACGCCGCCTCCGCCCGCCGCAGCGCAGAGAGAAGGGGCCTGAAGCCAGAGCGGAGCCGGGGGGGGGGGGGGGGGCAGTTCGGGCTCTTCCTCACTCCGTACGAGCCATCTCAGCGCGCCGCATCCTCCCCGCCGCTACAGCAACACCAGCGCGCGGCTCCGACCGGCCGGGCCGCCGGCTGCTTCCGGGCCAAACTGCGCGACGGCGGCGCGCGTGCGCACTACGAGGGCGAGAACGTGGCCCATTGCTGGGAAAGGTTCGTGTCCTCCGGCGCACGGGCCCCTGAACGCCTCCCTGCCCGCTCCAGGCGCATCCTCCTTCAGCAACGCTGCGGGGCTACTACAGAAATCACACAGGGACACTCCCCCGGCGGTAGCGTGTGAGCAATGGACAGATGGCCGTTATGAGGGGCACCTGGTGGCAGGAGTGCAGAGGCGGGGGATAACTGTCTCAAACCAGCGTAGCACGCTCTTACAGCGCCCCATGAACTAGCAGTGCGCTGGATCAGAGGCAGCGCTTGCCTTTGCAACAGCTTGTACCTACTCCATGGCAAATACCTCCTAAACAAACCAAAACGAGAGCTAGGGACAATGGCAAGCTGCAGTCGTAGGGTGTTGTGAAACCCGCGCGGAGATCAATCGCTGGATCTCATTTAAGCGTTTAGTGACTGCAGTCTAGCCCAGCGAGTTCCACCGTTTAGAGAAGACTATGACCTACTCGCATATAAAAGCTAATAGTAATTATGGAAACCTTTCAGATTCCGTGGGCTGTTTTCCAAGCACCAGACACTTAATAGCAGCAGAATTATTTTCTAGCTCGAGTACTCCATTTTCCCCTATTCTTTAGATTGGGGGAAAGCAGTTCTTTAAAATAGTCATCTTTTACCCGTAAACTGTTCTTTCCTTCTTCCACCCCTGAAATCATTCTCTTGACACTACATGCTGGTCGTGTAGAAGAGATTAACTCACAGGAGCAATACACCTCATTTTAAAAGTAAAGAATGAAGTACTTGGTTGTCATTTAGGATGTATCTAGTCAAATTCAAGAATTGGGTCAAACTATTTTACAGTGTAGCAGTGGAATATGGTATAGGATTTAGAAATTGCTATGAGGTTATAGTGAGATTATCCTCACAAAGCAGAATCAGGTCTTTATCCTGTAGGCTCAAGTGACCCGCTCAATCCCAGGAAACTGATCCTCTGCTGAGTGCTACTTATGTCCTAGTAGAGAGAATAGAGCATGTTGCAGCAGCACTAAAAGTGCTGTAAAATTTGCTCTCCAGAATGCATCTTCACTTCCAGGCTGCAGCTGCAAGGATTCATAGTACAAACATGGTGCAATTCCACTTACGGTGGCAATACAGACCCTACTTAGAACAAGGTTCCTGTACTTGATCATTTTCACCTGTATGAGCAAGCTCAGATGACACTGTAGAGCTAGTGAGCACTGGGGCTTGGCCTAATATACAGCTGCCACCCCCTGTGGAAGCTTGCCCCAAAATAAACCCCTACTAAGCTTAGAAATGACTTGAAAAAGTTCAGCTGTACGTCATTTTCCTAATTTGACCACAGGTTTAATAACACCTTCAACAGTTATAACTATGAGGCTTTAGGACACATAAGCAGGAAAAAATGCTTCAGCAGTTTAAGATTTCCCCAACAGCCAAGGGAGGCTGTTTACTCTAGATAAAGCAAGTGTTGAAGATTAAATAATGGATGTATTACTCTGCTTGATACTGTTCTTATTTTACACCTCATGTAGTATACTTTAAGATGCCTCTACTACAGAGAGTTCATAAAAATCAAATTGTTGTAGCCAGGCACTGTGGCTCTAGCTTAGCACTATTCCCACTAAGTAATGTATAAGTTAAACAAGCTCAAGGGCCATTCAGGTTAGTGCAGAGTTGTATCATAACAATCCAGAATAGTGCATCACTAGTAAAGGGCAATATTAAAAAGGCACCATTTGTTAGTTATGCTAGCTACTGCATATTTTTGCAGAGGTTAACATGAGTTCACAAAAAATGAGAACAAGTGTTAGAAATCTTTACCCAACTGGCAGTCTAGGGTAGTTAAAAAAAAAGCTGTATTTATACAGGACTACACTAAAGACAGTAAGCAGAGGGAGCTCCCTCTAATACAGATTACTTCCCTCCCCCCCATGCAATCAAGCTCCATGTCCCATACTGATATGTCCTATTTGACAGCTTTAAGCTTACAATCTATATTGCTTGATTACTGTTACAGATTGTAAGGGGTCACTAAGTCTGCTTCAACTCTTATCATAATGATAATTTGATTCAAGGAAGCTCTGTTGGCACACTAAGGCATTTTACCATTTATAGCAGCAGGATAACATTTCCTTGGTCAAGAACTGTATCTGATGGGTCTTAAGAGTGGCTATCAAAGTTTAGCAATAGCTAATGCACACAGACTAGTATTGATATAACATTTATTGAATACTTCCACTCTAGTGGATGAAGTGTCTGTACAAAACCAAACATTTCTTTTTATTTCTGCTTCACATTAAAATCAAACAGATCTAAAACAGTCACCTCAATCGAAAACCCCTACAGATACAACAGCTTCTTTGAAGCTATGGTAACACTTAAATATGGTTAAGACGTCAATGCAGAAATTTGGTTTGTTAGAATGCTCAGTGAGCTTTAGCTTCGCAAAGTTATAAAAGGCAAAATTGTGTTTCACAGATACAGTCCACTGGAATCACCAACACTGGACAACTGTTAAGTAGTAAGAGTCCTGAGATAACAAGGAATACTGGTATCCTTTAGACAGTTTTCTGTTGTCCTTTCTTTCCAATAAGAGATTTGTGGATATGTGGTATTACACCTAAGATTAAAAAAAACAACCAAGAATTAAGGCAAGGTTGAAGTAGATTTTCCTCATATCATTTGAAACAGACAGTATTGTATTTGCTTTACAAACATCATAATACACAATCAGTGGTGAGAAACCTATTTGACTTTAAGTTTAGTTTGAATAGTAATGAGTTGGAGTTACATACCACCACCAGCAATTGTTGCCTTAATGAGAGAGTCCAATTCTTCATCTCCTCTTATTGCAAGCTGCAAGTGACGGGGAGTGATACGCTTCACTTTTAAGTCTTTGGATGCATTTCCTGCCAGCTCAAGAACCTGCAGACAAAAGCACTTTCAGTCCTTACCCATCAAGCATAGATTGCATGAGTTAATGACATTTCCGAAACAATATCTGGCAGGCACTGTAGGCTAGGCTACATAGAGTGTTATCAGGGCTTTGTGTAACTATGTTCTGCAGCATGCACCATTAAGTTCTGTAACTGACTACATTACAAGATACTCTTCATTCTCATCCCTTCCACAAGAGAGCTTATAGTTGAAGATACTCATTCTACAACAAAAATGCAGAATTCTGTGGCATCTTGGGAAAAAATGCCAAGTCCCACAACTGCAGTCAGGGAGTCCATGCCCTCTATATGACATAACTGGGTAGCTCACATCTTAAAACCAGTTTCAGGTCTGCTGATGAGGCCTTGACTACATTTTAAATGCTACAGCAGCACAGCTCCAGTGCTGTCATTGCATCATTTCAAGTGTAGACATTACCTACACTGACAGGAGGAGTTCTCCTATCAGCATAGGTAATCCACCTCCCTGAAAAGCAGCAGCAGCTAGCTCAACAGGAGACCTCTTTCATTGACCTAGCATTATGTACACAACAGACAAGATTGGCTTAGCTACACTGCTCAGGGGTATGGATTCTTCACACCCTTGAGCAACATAGCCATCTCAACTTAACTTTTTAGTTGAGACCAGGCCCTTACATTTTTTACTAAATAAAGTGAATTTATAGAACAAAGTAAAAGAAGATTGAAGCGGAGGTTCTAGAGCACAACTCTACAGCAAATTCCATGATCACAGAATTGCAGAATACAAGCAGCCCTGGTTATTATGCAGCTCCAGCAGTGTCAGCTGTCTTCCACATATCATCAACTTCACCTCAGCTGTCAGGTACTCCAGGATGGCAGCACTGTATACAGCAGCTGTGGCTCCCACACGTCCATGGCTGGTAGTCCTAGATTTCAAGTGTCGGTGGATGCGGCCAACAGGGAACTGCAAGAGATCAGACTGGATAAGACTATGTTGCAGACATCACTGGGGTAAGAGTGCCTGTAAAGCTGCAATCTTTACACCTCTTGCTTGTGTATAGCACCCAGGCAGCAGAAAAGAACAGGCCAAGCTGATGTTGGCTATATGGTACAAGTATGTCTGCATTTACAGTAGCAGTTTGAGTGTGCTTCTAGCAGGATTTCCAATAGGACAATATACTGAAATCACTATCACCCAGGTATAATGAGGTCAGTGGCGGCGGCGGCGGCTGCTGCTGCTAATAGCATAGTTTCAGCCCCTCCCTCCAGCAAAACTTGCTGGGGGCCTGTCTCAGCCAAACCCAGCCATCTGAGGGTAAAGAGTCAACCTCTCACAAAATAGAGACATTGGTTTACATAATTGTAACAAGGACACTAGAGATTCTGCCCAGAAAGCATTATAAAAACCAAACAAACCAAACTTGGCATTCTTGTCTTAAGAGGAGGAAATGAGCTGAAGTTAAGAAAATGACATCATGTAATCACATGAGGAGCCAGGGCTTTTAAAATAAGCATCAAATATCACAAGATCTGCAATAAAAGAAATGTTCCCCTGTAACTTGGGAGGGCCCTCAGGCAAACCCCCTCCCAGTTCGGGACGGGTGTGTTGTAAGCAGACAGTTCGCCCAATCCTCACCTGCAGACCGGCTCTCTGTGAGCGGGACACTGCCTTCGTCTTGGTCTTTCCGGAGTCTTTCCCAGCTTTACCGCCAGCCTAATGCAAAGAGAGACTGTGAGCAGCAGCACCTGCCACAAGCGTGGCGTGTCTATCCTGCCCCGTAGGGAACTTAAGTGGCGAAGGCAGTCGGCGCCTTAGATGCGAGCAGTAGACGCGCCATGCGCCCGCCGCGCGCATGCGCCTCCAACCTCAAGATACGCTCATCCCGCGCATGCGCCTCCAACCTCTAGCCAGCACTGATGCGCGCGCGCGCCTTATTCCTCCACGCTTGGTGGCACTAACTGAGCGCATGCGCCACAATCACTCTTCCCCCCCGGCGGCACTAGTGCGCGTGCACTACTCTCTCTCCCCCCCCGATAGGTTTAGCACTAGC